CCTACCCCACACCGCGCCGTAACCGCTGGTTGTACTGCACTGCACGATGGTAACCGCGCGACTGCACGGCGTCCATTTGCAATCCAACCCTCCGTCGGCTCCGTCGCGTTCTCGCGCGTGCACAGACATTTGCCGAATTTTCGCCGATTCTTTGCCGAACTTTCCTGCAAAAGTTCGGCATTTGCCGAACTTTGCCGAATCTGAAGTTCGGCAGATTCGGTCCATCACTACTTCTCACACCCTCTCTCATAACCAAGCGGTTGCCATGACGACGGCGCGCGTATTGTTTTGTCTATTTTTTATTACTTTTGGAGAAACCCAACGCCCGTTAGGGGAGATTTGGTGCTGCCGTTTGCAATTGGAGTCCCAATGGGAGGTATACACTCTGTGCGACGCGACTGGCGCGCCGCCGCGCGGCCGGTACCGAAGGTAGGCAGTGAGAACCCCAGAGAAAACGAAACCGAAACCACGCCGCGTACGTTGGTATACATTGAAGTCGGAGTGGTGCGGTTGCGCTGGGTTCACAGCATGAAGTGCTGCCTGTGCTGCGTCATTTAGTGCTTCAATAGTTATGCGTCGTATCTCGTGGAGACAAAGTTTCACAGTTTTTCACCTCGCCGATGTTTTGTGGGACAGCGACAACGATGGAGCCGTGCCGTACGACGCGAGAAATTTGGTCTCCCGATCATATCTGCCACTGTGTCGGCACGGCTCACATATTCTACACTGCCGCTTTGCGCTCTGCGTTTGTTTTCGTACCAGTAACGCCTACATGCGTCAGCGCCGATGGAACGAACGGAAATGATATCCCACACTCGCGGGTATGTAGTGCCAATTTCGTTGGAGGAATGCCCTCCAAAGAAGTTTTGTCCACATCGTACGTGTCGATGATATTTCCAGACAAGTATGGCACGCAATCTGTACTTCACGAAGAAAGATTCGAACGGTAAAAAAGAAAAAAAAAAGTGACAAATATGAATCTAAAGAAAACAACAATGAAACTCGGAATCACTGGAGAATCGACGTTTGAATATAGAAGTTTATGTGGTGTGCTTTCTTTCTTCATCAGCCTCCTTTTGGATGTGGAAACGCTGACACCCCGAGTTCTGTAGACAACAATTTTTTTTCTCGGCTTTAGAGCCACCTATCGCAAAGTGGTTCGAACTGGAAGTACCGTCCACTGGTCCCTCCCTACCTGTAAAGTGTGCACCTCCCACGATGAGTGGTATTATCTGACAGCCTTTGACGGTCAAAGCCAGTTCCCATTTAGTTACGCCGCCCAAACTAATTTCCACCTGGTTTCGCTATGCCAACTCTTTCTGTTATAATAAGTGTTGTGCCAAGTGACGGTCATGTCAAAATACCTGTGCACCGAAAATGATCACCTCGCACAACAGGTTATTACACAACAGCTGACCGCAAAAGCCCTTGGCGGCCAAACCGTGTGTTGGCCGACAACTTTGTTTTCTCGGCTTTGGAACCGCCTTTCGTAACGTTGTTTCAATTGGGAGTACAGTCCACTAGTCCCTTCCTACCTCTAAAGTCTCCACCTCCCCCGACCAGTGGTATCCTCTTGACAGCCTTTTCATGGTCAAAACCGGTTCCCATTGAGTTACGCCGCCCAAACCAACTTTTCACCTATTTTCCCTATGCCACTTTTTTTTTTTTTTGTATAATAAGTGCTGTCTCATGTTATTGTCTAGTCCAAGCACCTGTGTGCCCAAATATGCACTTTGCACAGCCCGCTATAACACAACATTTTGGGTTCAATATTGGATATCACGTACAGCTTTATTTTTTTATTCGTTAGAAACATAACTTTCACACCTGCTGTCTTAAAGAAACTTGCCATTCTTCGTGCACAAACTTAGTGAGCATCTCATTCGCCTCCAAATATCATCGTTCCAGCAGTCTTAGGTGTACAGCGACGAGCGAAATAAATTTCCCACTCAGAGCAATTATGGTGGCGGCCGTCTTGTTTTTCGGAAAATAGCTCCAAGTCCTTTTTCGGCCGCAACTAGAGAAATTATCCCTAACGACTCAAAGTCAATATATAAGAAGTGGAAAACAGCTAAATTCCCTTCTGTCCCAGCACTCATGCAACGTCACTCTCAACGTATCGGCTCAAAAAGCAAAAGTTTCTTCCGTGCGCGTTTGCGCCGCCACAGCTTGGCATGCGAAAAGGCGCCGCAGGCTGCTGAACGCGCCTCACAATCGAACGCCAGCTCCTCCGCTAGCGGCGCTGCGCGCGTTTTTCAAAGCGCCCCCTATAGTTCCCGCACGGAGTGTATAGGAAGAGTCCGCCGGTTGCTTGAACTACGAGGTGCTCCCGACGGAACTCGCCCATCAGGACGCCGCCAGGCACGACCCGAAGTCGTCCACGTAGTTCGACTCAAGCCGTTCTACGCGCGTTAGGATTGTGAAACTGCATGTTTGTTTTGTTTCGCCGTAATTGTTTTAGCCATTTCCGTTTTCCTTTCGTTTTGCATCGGGGCGATGCACTTTTAGAGGGGGGATAATGCCGCCCGCAGAGCCGAGAAGGCAATGCTTGGTCACAATCTTCTAGAAGATTCCCGGTCATTCTCGCAGCAGACGTAACTTTCCCTCTGCTTTGTTATTCTCGAAAGTGCCAGTTCATCCTCGCCCCGAGCGCGCGACGCTCGAACCTTCCTTGACGAACTTTCGAGATAGTGACGCACGGTAGATAAGCAACTGCCCGCGACCTTGTCGAGTCAGTCCCAGTCTCGCTAGCGCCCTGTAGTGCCGCCGAACCGCCGTCCGCTTTTCTGCTGCCTCGACGCTCTTTCGTTATGTATTTTTAGTTGGCACAAGTTCACCCATTAAATCTTTATTTTCGGTTCACTGTTCGGCTTTTCGTCACCTTCATTCGTGACAATATTAAAGTTACATTTATATTTTTTTTTTATTTCTTTCCCTGAATGTTCTTTTATCGTGCGCTTCAAATAATTCTGACAATGTTATGTTAAGCAACTATTTCACGTAATTCGTGCGTAGTTTTTTTTTTTTTTTTTTTCATACAAATATTGAGAGAGAAGAGAAAAAAAAATATTGCAAAACCTTGTTAAGAGTCAGTAGCTGCTCCGGCTCAAGCGAGAGCTTACAGCCTTTAATGACACTTCGTCGCACGTGCAACCAAACCCCGGCGAAAGCAACGAGCACGTGCTAGAGGCCGACTAAAGTTAAAGACAAACCATTAGTGATTATAAAACGACCTGATAGATGTCACCAGTGTATCAGTGTGCTCTCTCGTCGATGAGGACATGGTGTAAGATACACTCTTTATGTGAGGGCACGGCGAGGCTGAATGCGCAGCGCACTGATCTCTATGTCTATTTGCTGGATCGCGTTTGACCAACTCCGCCTATGGACCGAAATGCGGTCACTGGCGGCCATCTTTAGGTAGAGTTATATCATCTCTAGCCATCATAGTAATATGGCGGACAGCGCAATGGCGGCCGGGTGCCATAAAATAGCCGTGGATCTAGTACACTGTACCGTGGGAGATAATTCGTGCTTGATTCAAGTTGTTCGACGACGTAAATTCTTGAAACCCGGCGTGAACGGTAGCCTCATTTTTGAGGACCCGGAGAAAGTTCTACGAAAGCGCAGCACCGGTGGAAAGCAGCGCAGCTCGCATCGAAAGCAGACTCCGTAACGGCGTCTGCTTTTGATGCTAATTTTGATGCGACTTTCGATGCGAGCTGTGCTGCTTTTCCCCCGGTGCTGCGATTTCGTGAAAATTTCACCGGGTCCTCAAAGATCGCGCTACCGTTCACGCAGGGTTTCAAAAACATGTTTCGTCAAACAATTTCAGTCAGGCATGAAATATCATCCACCCTATTTTGACGGCAACCTGCCACCACACCTGCCGAAACGCTGTCTGCCATGGATGGATTACAGTGGCTGCAGGAGCTGTACCTTGGCTAGAGGCAATATAACTCTACCAAAAAGATGGCCGCCAGTGACCGCATTCGTAGAGCGGGCAAACGCGATCCAGCAATTGTCATTGAGATCAGTGGCGCAGCGCGAGAATCAGATAGCGTTTGTTCGACGGGCATCCGAAAGGCTGCGTCATTCCGCAACCATAGTGTCGCCGGCGGCGAAAACGGCGAAACTGTGTGAGAGCGAAAAAAATTATGTCGTTGCCATGACATCGCGGTACACCGTAGTCTTTCTGACGTGGGACAACCTCGCTGGAGCTCTGGAGCATGAGGCGGCACGAGCCTTCTTGTGCACTGCTGCCTGCCTCCTGCGTCTTACACCGTGCCCACGGGTCTTGAGTCATCTGCCGGCGCCGCTTGAATCCATAGTGAGAGAGAGAAAGAGAGAGAGTGAAAAGCGAACTTTATCGGCACGGTCGCGAGGAGCGCGTTGTCCTCATTTCAAGAGTACAATATTATCTTACACTGTGGGATATCTTACACCGTGGATGAGGACGAGTCGTACCCGGGAACACCTTCAGGTGTCTGGGCACTCTTTGTGCAGATATTTGTTTCAGGTGTCCAACGACACGGTTGCGACAAACAATCTCATATTTTCACAGGATGATATTTATTTGAATGGCTGTTTTACCCACTCGTGCCCCATGTTGCATTTACTCTTTGACTACGCCTTTAGCAACAATAGTGTTGTATCGCATAAAGCCTGGTTCAAACAGTTATGTTCAGAGCGATCGAAACGACAGCAAAGGAAAAGTCACCGGCATAACTGTTGCGCATATGTAAAGTGGCAAACAATGAAAGAGGTAACTTTGTGAAGCATTCATGAGTTACCGCTGTCTCGGGTTTCCGTTCATTGCTGTCGTTTTTGGTCGCTCTAAACTCAACGGACGCAAATGCGTGAATTAAAGTCACTAGATCGTGTGAACCAGCCTTAAGTACTCTGTGTGAGGCAAAGTGTACTATCCTGCAGGCTTCTTGGCTGTTTGACGGGCACTAAAATGAACCATTCGTTCACCTTTCTATTCCGGAATCGTGCAGACAACCCGTTCCACTGCGACTGCGACCTGTCCTGGCTCCGGCTGCTCCTGAAGGGCCAGGGCGGCAACATCGTGGTGAACCAGCCCCGGGAGACTCGGTGCGGCTCTCCGGACGAGTTCTCCAAGCTGGCTGTACTCGACATCCCCAGCAGCAGGATGCACTGCGGGGCCGATTCCGCTGTCTCCACGGGGCCGGCGGGACTCGTCACGGTGATGCTACGGACACTGTCGACGGCCGTCGCACTGCTTGGCCTAGCCTTGCCCTTGGGCCTTGTCGGTGTCTCCTGAAACCTGAGGCATCGGTGGGGCGCAGACGGATGATGCCCGCCTCGCACGGGAAGCGTACTACCTCCGCTCGCCGTTGTGGACCCACGAACCCTAGAGTCCATAGAGCGAGACCGGCACTACGACGACGACTTCGGGGGTGTTCGGGTCGTAAAGAAGCTGCAGCGATCGCCAATCTTGCGTCACCTCTACGTTGACGAGACAGTGCGTGCTCCAGGTGGCGTCTCTGATGACACTGCAGCTGATGTGTCCCCTTCTTCGAGAACGACTGTGCTGTGGGGGCCACAGCTTCGTTACGATGACTCCAAAGTTATTCCTGACTGTTATATCTAAAGGATGGCGCGAACCAAAGGCTACTTCTTATTTGTCATTTGGTTTGCTAATGGGACCCGTTTAAAGACATATCGCTTTTGATTTCATAAAAGACCACTGCTGGATACCAGGTGGTTTTGTGCTAAGTTTAGCCTCACCTGCCAGACCTCAGAGTTTACCACACTTGTTCAGCAAACTGAGGGCCGTCTTGAGGGATAAGAATGGTGGCAATGGATTACAATTGTAACATAAGCTGCGTACACGCGGTGCCGCCTCGCTGACCATCTTAATCGGCATACAAGAGATTGTGCGGGAGAAAAGTTCTGCTTCAGCGGGGTTCTGAACAGAGCTGCAAGACACCTAAATAACATTGTTCGCCGTCCTCAAAGGATCGAACGTCTCGTCAAAAGAAATCGCACTGTTCGAACTCAAGTTTGCTGTTTGATTGTTGATGTTGATTTACGGAAGCCTACCAAGCTACGAGGTTCGTTGCACTCTGTCAAGCCTTAGTGCAGACTTCGCTGAATCCTTCGAGGACACCGAAAGACATCTGAAAAACCGTTTCCACGAGTGTTTATTGCAAAGTTTTGCACGCCGGCAGTGCTTCGCAGGGAAATATCATTCTGTCACCATTCGTTGATATATCTCAAGAAATATACCTCTGAAAACCCGGTATTCCTCTTTGCGTCAAATGCGCCGAACGTTTTTATTGAATACCACTTTTACCGAGTAGTTTCCCAGGTTCAAAGGATTTGTGAAGCCCAATTGCTTCAATTAAGTGCTTCGATCGTTTCGCCTTGTGCAAATGGACGAACGTTTGGCGTCTGTGTGCGTGTGCGAGTGCGTGTGCGAGCGCGTGTGCGTGTGTGTGTGTGTGTGAGCGTGCCTGCGTGCCTGCGTCTATTACATGTGTTCGTTTTTGTGTGTTTATGTCTGTTTGTTTTTGCCGTTTTGTCTGCATCCGTTGCGTATTCCTTTTCCTTTTTGACGTGTCTTTGCATCTGTTAGTTTCAAAAGTAAATTCCTTTTTTTTTTCTTCTTTTTTTGTGCCAACCGCTTATTTTCTCTCCAAATGTAACGCTAGAGGTCCGCACCAGATGCTGAAGTTGCAGAACTAACTTTTACCTTACTCAGAAGTTATGAGTGATTTCATGAATTTTTGAATGGGAAAAAGGCGGCCGACGGAGTTCTGAATACATGGAGCAGAACGGGCACCAGTTACCGAAAATGCGCGAAAGCGGACCTCATTTTCGAAATGGAAATTTTTCAAGAAATCACTTACAACCTTTGAACGAGGTAATGGTTAGTTCTGACACTTGAGCACTTGGTTCTGACCACTCACGCTGCGTTTGAGCGGGGAACGGGCGTTTGATGGTGCGTAGCTTCTACCCGTGCCACATGGGCAACTCGAATGCCATTTACAACAACGACATTTGAGCGGACGGCCAATCAGCGCGCGACACTCCGGGCGTAGCGCATTCGACGCGCGGCAGATCGCCGAGCCGATTCGTCGATTACACAAATGTCATTCGTTGTAAATGGCATTCGAGTTGCCCGTGTCGCACGGGTATTACTCTCCCGGGGAATAATAAAGTACTACTTTTTGGGGTGGGGACACGCTGTACAGTGGCCGCTGCCACGTCGCAACACTGAACCGAGCAGACAAAATCCCGCATGAGGCAATTCTATAGTGCTCTCCTACCTGGGAAGCCGGGCTATTGAACGCGATCAACACTAAGATCAGGGGTCCCAAACACGCGGCCTACGCTTCAGAGTAACGACACTTCGCCATATGGATTTGGATTGGATTGGATTGGATTGGATTTGGGGCTAACCCCTTTGTATCGGGGGATCTCAGCAGCGCTGGATCTAGCCTGGCTAGTAGCTACACTAGCCAAAAACGTAGTTGTGTTCTTTTGCTCTCCTCCACCAACACTCCAGTCTCCTCTTTGTCACCTCCACTGGCTGCGAGCTATCGGCGTCGTACTGTTCGTCAACGCCCCGGAAACCCAGCGCCACCGCCATGTCTGGTTCGTACGTCACGTCCGGCTTTATACCCGTGCATTCCAGTATGACGTGTTCCGCCGTCTCGTCTGCTCCCTGCGCGCACATGACGCACTTCACTTCCATGTCCATGTACTTCGCGCGGAACACGCGGGTCCGCAGCATGCCGCCTCGGGCGTCCGAAAGCAGTGCACTGCCCTTGCTGTTGTCCATGAAAGGTATTCGCTTCACCTCCTGTTTCTCTCTGGCATACAGGGCCAGCGCTGGCTTCAGACGTGCCGCTTCCGCCCATCGCCGCGTCTCGCTCTCGATCACCCTCGTGCGGATGCTCTGCTGCAGTTCCGGCTGCTCCGCGGCTGGGTAGAGGAGTGGGCCGTTGACCTCGTATCGCTGTTCCAGCTGGCGCGTCCGTCGCACCCACCGGGTTGGGACGGACCGAAGATGTACATACTTGAAAACCTGTCTGGCCCAGCGCTCTTCGCTCATCCGGCTGAGGCGTCGCTCGAAGTCCAGCTTGGCTCGGGCCTCCCTGGCCTCAAAACCGGACCAGCCCATGTCTCCTTGGACGGCTTCGTTCGGTGCTGTTCGGCTTGATCCCAGTGCCGACCTTCCCACCTCCCTCTGACGGACCTCGAGGTATTGCCTGGTACCTGATGACAGGCACAACACTGAGTTGCCAAAAGTGAGCCCCGGCACCGCCACCATCTTCCAGACTGCTCGGGTTACCTCGTATCGGTTATATCCCCTGAGGGCCCTGGCCGTTGCTATGCCCTTGTTCTTCCTGCTCTTCGCCTTGACCTTCGTCTCGTGCTCTAGGAGGTAGTGGTGTCCCTTCTGTAGGTTTACACCCAGATATTTGTAGTGGTCCACCCAAGGTACAGGATTGGCTTGAATGGACAGGTTGGCGGTCCCGTTTTCCTCTGCTGCCCCAAAGGCCATCAGCCCAGATTTGTGCGGACTGAAGCTAAACCCCAGGGCCTCTCCCATTGCACCACACTCGTTCATGAGCCCCTGCAGGCCCTGCAGCGAGTCCGCCATCAGCACCATATCGTCGGCGTAGATGAGTCCCGGGAGTTTTCCTCCCTTCCTTTCCCCGCCTTCCGAATATTCCAGTGAGAAACCCTCCCCACTCTCCTGCAACCGCTTTTCGATTCCTGCTATGTACAGCATAAACAATAGCGGCGACAGCGGGCAGCCCTGTCTCAAGCCCTTGGAGCAGGTCACTGGATGTGTTGTCTCCTGCTGCCACTGTGCCACCACCGTCGTCCCTCTGTACACTTCTCGCAAGAGGTCTATCCACTCTCTGCAGAGTCCCCGCTCTGCCAGCTGCGTCCACAGTTTTCGATGTTCGACCGTGTCGTAAGCCTTGCTGATATCGAGAAAACAGAGGTAAAGGGGGCGGTTCTCCTTCTGGGCAATCTCGATGGCCTGCGTCAGCACGAATAAATTGTCCTCAAGGCGTCTCCCCCACCGGAACCCATTCTGCAGCTCCCCCAGGACTCCTTCTGCCTCTGCCCATGTCTGCAGTCGGTCTCGTATTATTTGTGTGAACACGCGGTAGAGTACCGATGTAATGGCTATGGGGCGGTAGTTTCCGAGCGTTGACTTTTGCCCTTTTCCCTTGTAGATGAGTCTGAGTCTTGAGGTTCGCCACTCCTCCGGCACCCATCCCTCCTTCAGGATCTGGTTGAGGATCTCGCGCAGCAGTGCTCTCGTCTCTGGCCCCAGCTCCTTCAGCAGCCTCATTGGGATTTCGTCCATTCCAGTGGCTGTGGTTCCTCCTATCCTCTTGACTGCTCTATTTAACTCCCTCTCCGTGATTTCCTCTCTGCTCGGTTGCTCCTGCAGTTCGTCCTCCGTCTCCCCCTCCTCACTGTCCATTTGTCGGCTGTCCCCTGTGAACATGTCCCCTATCCACCTCTCAATGTACCGGTTGGTCTCTCCAGGGTCCAGTTCCTTTCCCGTTGCATCGTCTTTGATTACAGCATCCTCCCTGGGTCGACCTGTTTGGCCCTGTACATGTCGCCAGAACTTCAGTGGGGCCTCACGTCCTGCCTCTCTCAGTTCTTGCAAAAATCTCTTATCTACCTTGCTTTGAATCAAAGCTGTCACCTCTATTTTCCTGCTCTGGTACTCCCTCCATTCTCTTGAATCTTTCTGTAGGGGGGCTTTCTTCTCCTCCTTTCGTTTTCTGATGGTCCCTCGCAGAGTCCTGTTTGCCAGTTGCCTTCTTGTGGCTTCAAATCATGGTTGCCAGTTATCTTAAGCTTCATCGGATTTTGCAGGAAACGCTTTTTCGCCCTCCAGAAATGTTTAAACGGTTCGCGACAGAGAAACGCTATATTAGATGACCTTCCTAACACCGAATCCAATGCTGAGGAAGACGCACTTTTGAATCATGACGATCGGCAGTTGCGTCTGCTCTGCATACGAGCCAAAATGGCGGCGCCCATAACAATGTTGGGGAACGGAGTGCCGATACTAGCGCAGGTCATTTAGTGGCTCACGCGGCCAGCGGACCGCATGAGGCCCGCGACTCTGAGATGCGGCCCGCAAGCGCACCGTGGCTGCGAGCCGCGTTTCCATGCCTCCGGCACTGTAATAGTAATATAAGTAATAGTTTCATATAGTCGATTCATTTTCGCTAAGAAGGACGCTCTGCTCATACAATGTGTTGACACATTTTG